TTTTTTTTATTATAAGATCAATAATTAAAAATATATAAATAAACTTATATATACAATCATACGGTTCTGTATAACAAAGTGAACCTATCACCATAATAACTTATACCTAATATATAAATATATCTACTCGATTTGGTTTGTCTCAATGATTTATTATCAATTTTTTTTAATGAAAGTGGTGAAGAATAAAATATAAGATGACAAATGTCCATTCGCCACTCAACAAAACATAGAACGACCTCTATATTACATTACATGTGCGCACATTTTTTCGTAAAATATATAAAGGCATTTGAATTTCCCCATGTTTCCGTAATTTTAAATATTACCATTATTTACAATATAAATAAAATTATATTTGTTATCCATAAGTTCTAAAAATTAAAACTGATTATTAAGTTAAAATGAAAATCCAAATAATGAAAACGAAAAGAAATATCTGGTAAAGTTATTTTTCTTCTATTCTCTTTTTCGCAATTTGATTTGTGTTAGTGGTTTAATTATCATTTCAAATCCTATATATATATATATATATATATATATATATAAATCAATATTATTTAAGGTTTTGTAGTATTATTATTAATTTTCATACTTATAATTGTTTAGTAAAAATTATAATTTTTTTTTTGGAAAAATGAGGTTTTACATGGATATTTTGAAAATGTTAAGGATTTTTTAGGATATTTTTAATGATTGAAGGTTTATTTGGATTCTTGGATAGTTGATATTTTAAATTATTTTTTTTCTTTTCATAAGACCAATTCCACAATTTTAATCGTTCGAAATCTCATTTGAAGAAAACTATAGTATTTGTGATGATAATAAAAAGAATGAAGAAGAAATTATGAAAACTTTATTGAATTGATTTACTTACAAAGAGCATATACAAGACATTATAAAGAAAAGACTCTATATACATGGAAAAAGGAAAAAGAACCATATTACCTAGAAAAAAGAGGAAAGTATCAATCTAGAGAGAAAATATGGTTTTAGAGAGATTATGATCAGATTATAGGGTCATAATATATTCTTTATCATTTATACTTTTCCTTATTTATAGACTTTCCTTTTTTTATTCTTCAACATTCTCTCTCAAAATTAGTTTGGAGGGAACTAAGAAAAACTAATCTTGAAGAACGAATAACTTCATGGCTGCATAAACCCTTCCATATGTGTTTTATCCCTGTTTATTGTTGCTTGTTCGGTTTTGAAGACATATGTAAAACTATATTTTTCCTTTTCAAAGCTGCAATTCCTCTTCAAATCCGTATAAAAAATCTGTCAAAACTTATCAAAATGATTAAATAACACGATGGAGGCCAAGGTACTCCGTTTTACATAAGAAACCGAATATTAAACTGTAAAAATATGATTATAATCAAACAATAGAAGAAATAGTTTTTTACTTTTGGTTTGAAATTTCACCTTACATTCCCCTCAAACCAACGGTCTGAAATTACGTAAGTGGGAAAAGCAGAAATTTTCCCTTAACCAAACGAATACATTCTGTGTCATATCGAATAGATTTGGACAGTAGCATCATCGCCTTGGTCTTCGCTTCACTTTGGGAATTATGTTCCTCTTAGGAAATCGTCCACCATGATTTTTGTTCCTAAGATATGATCGTTTTTAGATTGCATAATGGATCCATCTCTGCGGTTTCATCATTATCCATGTAGGTTGTGATGGATATTTTCTTTTATGTGGGGATTGTGGCTGCTTTGTCCTCCTCGGAGTGCACCACTTTGTTTTCATCATCTTGTTGATAGATGACCTCATCTTTTAGCCTCTACAAAACTTTAGCGCAAGCTCCAAGGGGAGGCCGAGGAGATACAGAGGGGTGAGGCAAAGGCCGTGGGGGAAATGGGCGGCGGAGATAAGGGACCCACACAAGGTGGCGCGTGTGTGGCTCGGAACCTTTGACACGACTGAGGTAGCCGCCAGGGCTTACGACTCGGTTGCCCTTCGCTTCAGAGGTTGCAAACATGACCGCCCTTGACCGCCACCCTCCTGATCCAAATCCCCAAACGCAAAACCAATCGTTACATGTTGTTCTCCCTTGGAGCAATCTGTCCAACTCCACTTTGCTCACCATCGCCCTAAACTTCGTTAATAGATGGTAGAGATTCCTCGTTGAGTATTCGAAGACTCAATTCGTTGAAAGAACCGTCTGGCATGGAGAGATAAATGAGGATTGCATTGATGTTGGCTCGTTCGGTGCTACTTGATGCGGGATGAAGTGCTTCAAGCTTTAACCAAAGAATCATGCTTTCACTTTTCATCTATTCCAAAGACATCTCATTTGTGACATTACGGATGAAATTAAGAGCTCTTACATATGTGAAAGTTTCAAGAATTTTCGAATCCCTCTTTGGCATATAAAACTCCATTGTTGTGATGGAGATTTAACAGTGGAACCGAAAAAAAAATATAGAGGGGTCTGAAGACCTTAATGCTCTGATACCATAAAGAAAACTATAGTATTTATGATGATAATAAAAAGAATGAAGAAGAAATTATGAAAACTTCATTGAATTGATTTACTTACAAAGAGCATATACAAGACATTATAAAGAAAAGACTCTAACGTATATATACATGGAAAAAAGAAAGAGAATAATATTGCCTAAGAAAAAAGAGAAAAGTATCAATCTAGAGAGAAAATATAGTTTAGAGAGATTATGATGAGATTATACGACCATAATATTTTCTTTCATTTATACTTTTCCTTATTTGTAGACTTTCTTTTTTTTATTCTTTAACATCATTAATATGGATTCTTTCTTAGAAAATGACGTTGACAAAGACAGATATTAAGATGGAAAATATCACTGCCGTTCACACATGATTGTATGTATATATATATTCGCATATATATATGAATTTATATATGTTGATTTATGTGTGTGTATGCATGTAAATATGTATTTCATGTAAAAAAAATTTTGTTAGCTTATTTCATGTAATTTTGTTTTTAATAGAGGTTGTCTGTTGGTGTCTTATTAACAAAACAGTGGATGATGCTATCAAAATATTATTTATAAGGGTAAAACTGCGAAATCAATGAGATTTAAATGGTGTCAAACCATCCGAAATCGCAGCGCCGCATTTGCAAAATGATTTGTCATCGAATCGGTTTAGATATAAATATATTTGTAACGGAAAATTTTCATTTTGTTTCACACTTTTTTACCAATCATTAACACATAAACATACACATTTCACAAAATCGGCGGCGGAATCCGATGGGCGAACAAGGCATTTCGTGCTCCGGAAGCGACGAAGAAGGTGGAGGAAGTCTTCGGGCTTCCGAACCTCGAAGATCCTCCTGCTCCGTCATTGGAGCCTCGATCATGGCCTCAACCTTCGTACCCAGGTTGTTGGTCTCTTGTCTTCGTTGTGTTCTTGGTAATAATGATTGTTTCAGTACCTAGGGTTTCTTGAGACAATATTTTCGAAAAATATCAGAAGGTCTGGAGCTTATTGTTGTGCCCACAACGAAAGTTGTTCTTGATTTGCTACATAGTGTCTAGGGAAACTTCTTCAGAGCAGAGGAATTACATCTTCTTACATGATTGACGATTCTAGACACTTAATTGTCGGAGTTGGGGCAAGTTAAGTTTGTGTTTTTATATATGTTGTAGACTTGTCCTACTAAGATATTTGTAGGGCTTTCTGGTGTGGACTTGTTCATGGCTGATGTCAAAGCCTTGGAAGCGTATGCTGGTTACTTCCACTATCTGCCGAAGTTGTGGTCTAGACTACTTCCTGAAGTTTATGAACCAGAAGCTGTTGCAGACTACTTTAGTTGCAGGCCACATGTCGTGGCTTTTAGACTCCTCGAGGTATCTTTAAAGAATTTTGGTTGCTTCTGACTTCTATCCACTAGATGATTCAAATGCTTTATATCCGCTTTAGAGAAACTGTTGTTAACTTTTGAAGTTTTTATGTCTAGATTAGCTCATTTGAACTAAAATTACATCAATCCACTGACAATATCTTTTATGAAAGTAAAGATTTTGTAAATGTTTGATACAAGCAAATCGGTAAAATTGCCCAATTAAATAAATGTTTTTTTGGTTTGCTGGGCCGGAAATTTGGAAAATTTCATAGTGTAAGACATGAGGATGCTTGCTGATTATTCAATTCTCACTCAAATTGTTTTCAGTAAACAAGTTCATGGATTCATAATTTTGGCCGACTTGCATGAGTTGCCTCTGTCCGGGTCATCTATAGTGTATCAACATTAACATCGCCTTAGTGTCGGCGTCATCTACTGTGTATATTCTGGGGAGATGTGTGTTCAAGTTCTTTTCATTCTTGTCTTGAAAGATGCATTGAAATGGTTTAAATTTATTTGCTAATGTATGGATGTTCTTCATGTTTGCTACTATCAGAATACAGACATCAGTATCAGACAAGGGCGGAAAATGTAGAAGTTTTAGGGCAAAATCTTGGAATTGTGTTGAAAGAAACCATGCTAAACATGGGCCCAACTTTTATCAAAAGTCGGTGGGTATTGCTGTGAAATATGAAACTGTGCTTGAGCTCACTTGCTCGTTTTATATTTAGGAGTCGTGTGACACCCGAAACTCGTATCTCGCATTACGAGTTGTGTCACATGGACAACTAAAATAAAAACTTGATTCCAAAAATCCGCGGGAATTTTAAAATTTTCTTTTCAGAGTTAGCGGAAGGAAAACATACATATGATATATTATTTCAGAGATAATTATACATAGCGAGTGGTAGCGAATTCATTATTACAAACCTTAAAAGTCTAC